ACCTCATTAGTCCTGTTTTGTTTTATGAGGCTGTCCAATCCCCGGCTGAATGGTGAAACTCAGAAGTAACTTCATCTCTGAGCTAAAAGGGTGTCTGGGGTCCATACTCTTAGGGTATCTCCAGTCTCTTTCAGGCCAATAAATCTGGTCTTCTTTTGTGTGTGTTAGAATTTTGTTCTACATCCTTCTCCAGCTCTATCCAGAACCCTGTCTTGTGATCTTGATCAGAGCAGTCGGTGGTAGCCGGGCACCATCTAGCTGTACTGGACTCAGTCTCGTGGAGGCCTTGGTAGCTGTGGTCCATTAGTCCTTTGGACTAATCTTTTCCTTATATCCTGTTGTCTTCATTCTCCCTTGCTCCCAAAGGGGTGAGACCAGGGAAGTATCTTAGATGGCTGTTCACAGGCTTTTAAGACCCCAAACACTACTCACCAAGGTAGAATGTAGAACATTTTCTTTATAAACTGTGTTATGCCAGTTGAGCTAGATGTTCCCCAAAACCATGGTCCCCATAGCCCTCCGCCCAGTAATTCAGTCCGTCAGGGAGTTTGGATGTGTCTGTGGAGCTTCCATGACCTCTCCTTGTACAAGTTGTGCTGCTTTCCCTGGTATTGTGTACTGTCTCACCCTTCACGAAAGATACCACTTATCTATTGTCTATTTAGTATTTCCCCCCACCCCTCCCATCCCTCGTAACCAACAAAGATTGTTGCTTTTTGTGTGTAATGAGTATGTTTGTTAACTTTCTTTGTGGTTACCGTGAAATTTACCCTTACATTTCTAAGTTTGAAGCAGTCTATTATTACTTGGTATTGCCTTGCCTTCCTCTCCATTAGAAGGTTCTATACTTACACCGTTTATTCCCTTTTATTGTTTGATGTTGTTGTCATTTACAGATTAACTGCTCTGATTCCCTGTTGTATTTCTTTTGTTTTTGGATAGTCCTTGAGAGTTCATTTCCTAGATTGGTATCTGGCTGGTACGATCCTGTGTCCTAGATTCAGCCTATGAGCTAAAGTTGTTTGTTCTCAGATCAAAGGATTCTCTTTAATAATACTTGTAAGTTTGGTTTGGTTTTTACATATTCCCTTAATTTCTGTTTATCTGGAAATGTCCTAATTTCATCATCATATTTGAACGAGAGTTTTGCGGGATATATTATTCTTGGCTGGCAATTTTTTTCTTTTAAGGTTTTATATATGTCATCCCGTTGCCTTCTTGCCTGCATGGTTTCTGCCGAATAATCTGAGCTTAGTCTTATTGTTTCTCCTCTGTATATGACTTTTTGTTTTTCACAAGCTGCTCTCAGGATTCTTTGTCTTTGGTTTTGGCGAGTGTGATTATGATATGCCTTGGTGATTTTCTTTTGGAGTCTATCCTATATAGGGTTCTTTGAGCTTCTTGGATGGCCAGGTTTTCATCTTTCATGATATTGGGGAAGTTTTCTTTCAGCAGTTCTTCAGTGATCCTCTCTGTGTTTTCTGTTTCCTCCCCCTGTTCTGGAACTCCGATCACTCACAAATTTTTGCTTTTGATTGTATCCCACATGATTCTCAGGGTCTCTTCGTTTTTCTTCGTTCTTTTTTCTGATTTTTCCTCAAAAGGAGTTGTATCCAAGTGTTTGTATTCAGTTCTGCTGATCCTGTCTTCCACTGCCTCAAATCTGCTCCTCAGCCCTTCTATGACACTGTCCATTTCTGAAATCTTGTTTTGTTTATCTTTTGGATTTCTAATTGTTGTTTTTGTATAATTTCTAGTTGTGAATTTGTTTCGGCATTTTGTTCGTGCATTATTTTCCTGAATTCTTCCAATTTCTTGTGTGTATTTTCCATGAATTTGTCTATTTTTTCCTCATTTTTTATCTGCTTTTTGCTTCAACTCTTGGATAATTGAGTATTAGAGATTTGAATTCCCTCTTAGGTAGTTGTAGTGCCTTTTCTTCTACTGGAAAGTCATTTGGCGTTTTATTTTGGATGCCTAGTGGAACCATCCTGTCCTGTTTTTGTAAATGTTTTGATATTATCTGCCATCTTTGGGGCATTC